GGTGCACCTGAGTGAAGAATCATAAATGGGACAAAACATGTTCTAAATTCCACTGTTAGCCATACATTATATTATCTTCTATTAGTTTCCAGCTGTAACTGTCTTTATTATTATTAAGAATCGTTTGTTTTATATCTTATTAGTTAGCTTTCATTGTGTTAATGGAACTTGTACATATATATGTCGGGTTTATCGAGTGATCAATAATGATATAAGACTAAATGTATTATGTAAACTTAGCAAACCGGTGGATAGAATAATTAGTCCCCACCAATCACCACCTACCTCGAGGCATATAGTTTACTGATGTGAGGATAAACTGGAAGAAAGATAAAGGCTACCAAACTAAGATCTCACATCAGCCTATAAAGTCAATGATCGTTAGATTTAGCTGTATTGTTACTTCCAGACTACCTGATTGAGGTCCTTGTGACCATTATAATCAATGGCTGGAGATATTGGGTGGATTGTATCAGACTGAGTCACAATGGCTGATGCATGCAATCTTCGTCTTGCCTTAGACTATGGACTTTAATATTAGCCTACACTCTTTATCCCGCGAATTTATGCGCTTGGAAGAGTTAAAAACTATGGGGAAACAATAATACTAAGAGCAGTAATATTCAAGACTTGATTACCTAAAATACTCTTTTGTCTTGTCGACTGAACCTTCAGACAGAAGAATAACAAAGCGAACCTCCTAGAAAACCACTTATTTTTGTTTGAGAGTACGAACATTATCTCAGCTCACAAGCATAGCATAGTGAAAGCAATAATTCTCAAGGTAATATTAAAATAAGAAATGGTTGAACTAAAGCTGTCGACCTGAAACCTAACAAGCTCGTTTCTCATTTCACCGTTAATCATCAATATTGAAGTCTACCAATTTAGGTTAGATCTCATTTGATTTGAGCTGGTTTTACTGAATCAAATATACATTTTATACGCAGTGCCACATTTAGTAATCGCATAATTCAGTTTCGTTATTCCTGTACACATATATTCCATTTATACCCGATTTAGTAAAACCAGGTCAAATCAAATAAGATTTAATCTAAAATGGTAGGACTCAATGTTGATAATTAATGATAAAATGAGAAACGGGTTAAATAGTTTTCAAGTCAACAGCTTCAGGTCAATTAGTTCAGTACACTAAGAATTTAATTACAATATCTAGATTACAGCTATACTTAATTTACAGATATTATGACGATCCGAATGCTTTGAATTTCTAATTAAATCGTTTCTTTACAATTTAAATCGAATAGAATACGAATGAAAAATTATCAAGATTTTTGCATCACACTGTGTATCTCCCCAAAATAATCTTGACATAAGTGAACCATTCTTAATCAAAGTATAGAAATAGTATTGTTGAGCTCTCTCTAAACAATACTCACCTTTTATATCATATTAAAACGGAAACTTGAAATTATCACATAGATTATGTTTATTGGCATTTCTTATCACAATTAGACATGTCAATTCTGTAGATTTTTACTTCTACATTACCTGATATTGGTTTATAAGAGTTAAAATTTACCGCTCATTTTAATTGAATCTAATAAAACAAGTAGAGTCATTCGTTAAATTGACTTAGAAATTTAGTTTCAGGTGTTAAGGATTAGCTTTAATACTCGATTAAACTAATAGAAATAAGTGGATAGATTTCGAACTGACAATTCAACATTTAAAGAAAGTCTAATATTTTCCTAATTCATATATCAAGTACAAACTCATATAATCAGTTTTACACTTTACTGTTTGTGTAAGGTTTAATGATAGAAAACTATACAAAACAATATATAAGCGAACTGGGGAGAATTCAAACCAGAAAACTAATGTTTGAATATCCAATGCTTTAGTCAATATAATAGTTATAATAATAAGTAGTAACTTAAGTCCACTTATACCCTATTTCTTTTGTCTACTATCAACAAATTGAAATGTACAACAACGAAAAAAAAACACGAAGTTATAAAAACGAAAGAAAAAAACTTTATTATTCAATAGTAATAATAACAATAATAAGAGTAATAAAACAGGAATGATACGAACAACAAAAAACCCTCGTTATTTATTATTATTGAGCATAATGAACATAGTTAGAAAGAGATAAGAGAGAAAAAAGGAGGTTTAATGGCTGAATAACAAGAAGATTAGACCAGAATAGAAACTGCCAGGTTAATTTATCAGAATTACTGTTCCTTTCTTCTTCGTCTTCTTCTTCTTAATCTTCCTCGTCATCAGCATAATCCACACTTATCAATGTCACGAACATATAAATAATATTAATAGTAATAATAATAATAATAATAGTAATAAGACACCGGTGAAAAAAATGCACTGATTGTTTTATTTTTACAATGATCATAAACAATTCTTCTCTATAATGAAATGACAGAAACAATACAATAGTTAACAACTTGTAATTCGGTAACAGTATTCATAAAAGTGTACAATAATAATAATAATCGTAATAGTAATGTCACACAATAATACATTTAAAATCGATACTATATATAGAAGATTGTGTAATGAATAATATTTATAAAATACAAAAATCAATTCACAATAGTTTGTGGAATATATATATCATTCTGTTTAGTTTCCTATGTAACTTTGAAGTTCTCCCAGTTGTTAATTATCGTTGTTATCGTCTGAGCAGTAAATTCATCACACATATGTTGATGTGCAATGAGTGAAATAGTAGTAGTGTTGATAAATAGGTAGAAGGACCTCACACATATACATACATACACACACGTACAGACAGAGAGAAAAAGGAATCAGTTAATAGGAATGTAATGTTTGTTTTTCTCTTCAAAATTGGAAAGAATTATTACAAAACGATTATTACTATCAACAATAAAATTGTTCCTTTTGTAGGTATACACTAATAGTAATAGTAATAGTAATAGTAATAGTAATAGTAATAGTAATAGTAATAGTAATAGTAATAGTAATAGTAATAGTAATAGTAATAGTAATAGTAATAGTAATAGTAATAGTAATAGTAATAGTAATAACGATAGGATTATTCTTATATAGTCATCAACGCGTATGTGTGTGCGTGTGGGGTAGTCATTACACAATAAAAGTTTCGGTACACCTAGATATTCATCTACATACACTTTACAGACATACACATTTATTTTACATTTTTACACTCTAAACACAAAAACAGAATATTAGCAAGGTATTCTCATAAACACAGAAAGATAAAAAGAAACAACGTATTTGGCGCTTATTTATCAATATTATTGCTATCTCCATTCTCACTAAAAAAATGTGAATAGTATTCTTCTTAAGATTTGAAAGAAAAACAACATGGTACATAGTAGAAACAAAGAAAATGCTGATGGCTGACTTTCGATGATGAAGAATATTTGTTGCTTTAGATCGTAATGCCATTGAATTTCGGTTTAAATTGACACCTCCTCTCTATCAAACAAAAAAACTTAATTCTTGAAGGAAACAAGAAAATTGTTCGTATGTTTTTTTTTGAAGAAAAAGGGATAATAATGAAAGAATTCAACAGATTAGAAGACTTTGCACACACACACATACACATACTAGTGTAATATAACGAGTAGAGGAATGCGTGACGGAGTACAAAGATAATCACTTTTTACAAAAATAACAGATAAAAAACAGAGGAGACTAGTAATAATAATAATATTATTATTATTTACATCAGTACTGTATAAGATACAAAAAACGGGCAGGAAACAACCACCATCGCCGCTGAGGTAAGTTAAAAGTTAATAATCTACATGGATAAAGTGAAGAACGCAGTATCAAATCATAGAAAAACAACTCATTAATATGAATCATTCGAATATATATATAGTCAAGTGTTTTTCGTAAAAACAAAAACCAATCAAAATGTGAACAACAAAACTCAATGTTCAGTAGGTAAAGATTGAACCAGCCAACAAACGGTGATAATGTATCATCATCCTAAATGTCATGGAAAGTGTAAGTGTTATCTTTTGGACGGGAAAAAATACGCAGAAATAGAGAATAGAGGATGAGATAAACAGGAACAATGTTGTACATTGTCTATTTATTAAAATACTTTTTTAAAAAACAACTGCCTTCTCTCGTAACAATAAACAAACAAACAACGTGATACAAAAAAAAAACGAACAAACGAGTAAACAAAAATACATATTATAAATAATTGGGATACAAATAGAAGAATATCGATTTAGAAAACTATTATTATTATTATTGTTATTATTATTAGTACTGCTACCGTTGTTAGTTATGAATAGTCAATCAGTAAGGATTGGCGAGAGTAGTCATGTTGTCTTTATAGTTCAGAGAAATGAAGAGAGAGAATATCAAGAGGTTATTATTTGTCAATCAACATGATATCGATGATATTTTCATCTTCAAAGACTATGATGTTATGCGTTATCTGATCTCATACAAAATAGTAAAATAACTGACCAATGTAACAATTAAGCAATAAGAAGACCTTTTGAAAATGTATACATTTTCAATGTTTACTTCACAATAAGTAGATGATTCAATTGGAGTTCTAAAATTTAAATCAAAGACAGGAAAATTAAAAGTAGGTAGACAGTGAAGAAGGGGGAATAAATTGTTGAAGAAATCAATCCATAGAGCAAAAAATAGGTAAAAATTGAATCATGATTGCATAAGTTCCATGAATAAATGTACATGATCAATCGGAAAAAGATAAGCGGAAAAATGATGGTCAGAAGACATCGGCGCCAACATGATTACTAACTTTGAAATCGGTGTAATAAACATGAGTTGTGTGTTTTCTTTTGATCACAAAAATAAGGTAATGATGATGAATTTAGTCGGCAATAGCCGAAACCACAAAAAAAGATAGGATAAAGGAAACGAGAAGAACAGAAGGCCAGGGGACGGAGTGGAATGGAAGGGGGTATATAATTCACAATTATAAACAATACTTTATAAGTAAATTAAAATGTTTTCAAAAAAACAAACGCAAATAAATGCTAAGTTAAAATACTATCTTCTTTCCCTGAATTTCTTGTGGAATATTCATTAGTTAATTGAAAATAAGTTGATTTATCAGGTAGAATGTAAGAATTTTCACTTTTCGATAATATACTACTTGATATGATGTTAGTAGCAGTATTACAGGAAGGTGTGTGTTGTTTATGGACGGATATTATATTGGATGTATTTGATGCATCATTCAGATCAGTAGTTTGAGTAATACTAGAAGTAATTATATTGTCAATAGTATCAGTAGTATTTTGATCATGATGATTGATATGATTTATGTTAGTTTTAGCATTTTTATTATGTGTTGGTGTCTTCAATGTACGTCGACGTCCACGTAAGATGACAGTTGTCGGTTTATCATTTACATTTTTATTTACATGAGTTAATAATTCAGTCGATTGGATTCCATCAGTATTTGTCACAGCAATACTAATAATGTTACCACCGACATCAACGTCACATCGACTACCACTATCATTTTTAGTACAATCTATAATTTTATTACTGTCAAATGAACTGATATTTTCATTATTAGTAGTATTAGTAGTAGTAATAGCAGTATCATTTGTATTGTCGTTTGTATCTAACTGTGCAATATGAATTAGCTTTTCTTGTGATAAGTTATCAATATGCTGGGAATGTTCATTTGACAATAAAACCTGTACATTTTTATTGATTTGATCATTTGATGAGGATCTTCCCATGGTGATATTCGATGATAATTTCTTACGATGATCAGTATGTGTTTGAGATCTCAATGAATTATCGTCGTCGTCATCATCATCATCATCCAAGGAATAATTATCCACATTCATGGTGGTTAAATTTGGCATTTCAATATCATCGTCAGTGTTGTCAATATTATTATCATTCATAGTTTCAATCATTTCTGTTTCATGATCAATATTCAGAGTATTCTCAACTTCTTTTTCATTATCTCCATCTGAAGATGGCATTGATATCGGAGGTGGTGGTCGTCGTTGTCGTCGTGGTGATAAGGACGATGTTGGTGATAATGGAACTTCTTTCTGATCATGTTTCAGTAGTGTTGTTGTTTCTTCAAACAACTTTATTTCATTATTGTCACCAAAATAATCCATACCATTACTGCTAGTATTACGACTCATACAGTTATTGTTTTTAGTAGTAAAGGCGGTAGTATTTTCTTGCTGATCCTGTTGTTGTCCACCGACTGTAAGCAGTTTACGTAATGCTTTAACTTCCATACTTAAACCACTTAATTCATTACGCAGGCAACGATTTTCACTTTGTAATTTCTCTGTAGTTTCTGTACGTCCAAGTAGACGTGCGCGTTTATTTTCACGACAACGACGTACTGCTTCATTATTACGACGTCGGCGATCTTGATAACGTTTATCCAGGGTTGATGCACCTGAATTTGAATCACTTAGAAAATGTTCTACAAATAAAGGGAAAGAAAAAGATTTTTCAAGAGAAAAACATAATTATTGCATAAATACATGTCACATTTATTATTATTATTATTATTACTATTATTATCGACCTATTTACTGAGTACATACTTGTGAACTCGGATTTAAACCATACGTTAAGTCTGAGGGCTGATATTACTTAGCTTACCCCAAACGGAACTGAATCGGAGAGGGTTCCGAACCTGTGATTAACAACCACTGGTCCACTTTTATACAATAAATATATACATATCTTAAAAATTTCAGTGACTTTACTTAGAATATATAGTACATCAGACTATTGAAAGAAGTAAAGGTTTCAAAATTCAAATATTCAGGGTAAATAAATTATTCAACTGAATCTATTAGTTTGAAAGAGAGATTCTCTTTTACGATAAAGTTGATACAATATTAAATGATTGGACAAAAGTAGCATGGAATTAAGGACGTCAGTTTTTGATAGGACTGGGAGAATAGTTGAAAATATGAAACTTTGAAGGCTACTCTCTCTCTCTCTCTCTGAAGAATGAGTATATGTATTCTTAATGTGTATGGACTGAATAGTTGGCTCATGATATTCCTATAGTGTCTTGATTGTAAACTTTAATCTGAGCTGTTACTTCGATTTATATCATGTCTTAATTTTGTACATAATGTGGTTTATTAACTATGGTGCACTGTAATCTTGTGATTATTACGTACATAACCATGTTAGTTTGTGAGCCGAAATAATATGAGATATTTAGTTGAACTTCTCAGATTTCTGATTGATGTATAAGAGCAGATTGAGTATTTTGTGGCCTGTCGATGGTTACCATATACAGGGTAACTACATTGCATTAGAGAGCTCATAGTGGGCGCATGTCTGAAATCAGTTTGTTCTCACGTTAAACCTACTCTGGTAACATTAACTTATTATCTAGTGATTAGGTTTCAAATCGTGTTCACATTATTATTATTATTATTATTATTATTATTATTATTATTACTCTTATTATTAACCTTGTCTCCTCTTATCCCATTTCCAGTCCAGTTGACCTTTTATTTTTATATATAAATGTTCTTAACAAGTATATGTGTGATCAGACTGTTCGAAATGTATTACACTAATATATCACATAGTTCCGATCAACTTCGTCTTCTTATTACATTATCGAAATCTATCAAAGGGACTAATTGCTTTAAATTTCATGCTAGTTGACAATTATCAACACGGAGTATCTATAATATTGAGAAAATTGATATATATTGTAAGATTCAAACATATCAAATAATAGCATAGTAGTCTGAAGTGTACATTATCATTGAACCATTTAGGAGACGACTAATAGAGACATTCTTGCTGACTGACCACTGGGTGATAACCAAAGTTGTGTATAGGTTACGTAACAGCTTGAAGTTCGATGAAAAATAGTAGGAGAAACAGAGGTTCATTCGACGAACATGAATACGGTAAAGAAAAATGATACGGTGGAACAAGTAATAAATTATTTTCACGTAAGCAAAAATTAGATGGTTAGAACTATGGTTGCTGGATTCATAAGGTTTCTTTGTAGTACACACGTTTTTACCTAGTACTCTTTGCAATCTCGTTAATTTGACTGAGATAATGGTAGAATATAACTAGGAGATTCATTATGTAAACTAACTTGTAACCCTTAATAGTGTGTCCACTAGTAGTTGGCTTCGAGAAGTTACTTAAATATCAAGACAAATCTTGGAGAGTGCAAGTATAAATAGATGTGTAGAATGAAAACAAGAGACAAGTCATGATGAATATGTAGAAAAATGTTAAGCATTTAACTACTAACTACTACAATCATGATTATACTGAGAACAAGATGACCTTCTGGTTTTATGTAGGGTATATACATTCTGTTTAAATAGGAAACTAGACAACAATAGTCTACACATATTTCCATAGTTCGTATGATTTTTTTTGCTTAAAACAGGAATGCTTTGTTCACCTCTATTTACCTTTTTTTATTGATCTTATCATATTAATAATCAGAGTGTGTATATGAAACAAAAAACAACAAAGTACAAGAACGACAATAGTATAGCGCAATCAACCATATATTAGTATTAGTCTCGACTATGTGTATACGTGTGTATGTCTCATTATTACACTATCATATACGGAAAATTCCTTCCCTAACACCCAACCCAATACACCGATTCTCATCAGAGAATAACTAGTCAAGATGAGTTTTTCATTTTCATTTCTAATAGGTTCTTTTTTGCTTTCATTTATTTTGTTTTTAAAAAGTGTACCATCATAAGCGCAGTACTATAATCATACTATCACTACCACTATTAGCCAAGGTTACAAATTATGAGTCATATTCTATTATTATAGGCCTCATCATTTGTAGTAATAGTAGTATGTAAACAAGGCATTTTTTTAATTGTCCAGACTAATAAAACTTAAGAATTAGGACCTCTATCGATAGTTCATGTCATTTTGTTAGGGTAATACATATCTATCTATGTATATATATATATATTTGACTGAAAGCGTAGGCGTTACATTACAAACTATTTAAATCTCTATTATTTGATTGGTTCGTTTTGATAAATGAATATGGAGTTAGTCAAATCTATTACTCTTTTGGTCTGATCAGTCATCATTCCAGGTTGATGATTTGCTTGTATACACACAATGCATGTTCTAATATTAATTTTTTTATTATTAAAACAAAACAATAAATGCATAATCACATTAATTTTACCATATGTATATGGTACATTAGAATGTTAATAACCATAACCATTACTACTAATACAGCTACTACAACTACTACAGTATTATGTGTATTTGCTGCGTCATTATCTCTGTTGTGTGATGACGCTGCAAATTGAAGACTTGTGTATGACACAGAAAAGTATTCAGAGAAGATTGTAAAAAACTAAATGCACTCGTACGTACACACATATAATATACATATATACATAAGTAGTACTACACGATGCTGCTGACTAATAAATGAAATAGTCTCAGTCCCCAAGGTCAAGCAAACAACAATATAATACACGGTCCAAAGAGAAAGAGAATGTTTTTTTTTAAGAAAAAGATTACTTAGGGGTAGGAAAAAAATTAACACAAGTATATGTTGGAAGTAAAAAAAATAGTACCTTGATAACGCTTTGATGAGTGACTGGTTGGCTGGCTAGCCAGCTGGTTAGACAAATGCACTACTACCTTTATTACTAATACTACTAGTATAGACATTTCCCTAATATTACTATATATTCAAATATGCAAGCAGATTGACGGGAGAATGCAGTATTTTACGAAAATACAAGGTCGATTGTTATCGTTTATCTATAAATATTGAATATCAATCTGTATTGTTTATTTACTGATGTCTGTGTATGTATATGTATATATATAGTGAGGTATAAAATTTCTCTATCTCACTCGTTATGAGGGGCCTTGACATTTTTCAATAGTAAATAATAATAGACGAATCCCAGTATAGTAATATAACACTTAGACAGTAGTTTAAATGACTTTTAAAAAGTTTCATTACTTCTACCGTCATTTAATGTTTTATCGTATTCACCACGAGAAAAACAATAATAAAAGAGAGAAAAGTTTTGTCATATGCGCAATATAAAGGTGACTAGGTAGTTTCTTTACCATTATTTGTATAGCTTGACACAATAACATTTATTTATTTGTTTATTTACTTATTTATTTATATAGGGATATGAACAACAAAACAACACAGTCCCCGGTAATATTGATCATGTAATTTATTTAAAAAATGAACTTATCTACTTATATACACACACTGATCTTTATTTATCAGTGACAATAACAATCGAAAATATCAAATAAAAATTACGCAACGTGAAAACCAGAAATCCTTTATTTAAGCAGAGTTATTTTGATTAATACAAATTTTAACAAGTATGTTATCTGTAGTTTATTAGCTATTGATACAATGGAGAGAAAAAAACTCGTTCAAAATTAAAAAAATACAATCACTATGGAAAACCTGGAAGCACTGGATGGCCGTTTCGTTCTAGTATGGGGCTCCTCAGCAGTGCGCATCCACGATCCCCCCGCGAGATTCGAACCCAGGAGGAGCCCCATATTAGAACGAAATGGCCGTCCAGTGCTTCCAGGTTTTTCATGGTGGTCTAGCTTCAATTTACTTATGATTTCAACTATTGAAATTACTAAAATCTCCACAAAACCCCATCTGATAACAATCACTATGGCTGATAATGGCAATTATCATTATGAACAATAGATTGGATAATAGTTGAAATACAATGTAAGTCAGGAAATACAGACTAGTAATTGTCAATAGATTAAAATTTATTAGGTTCAATACCTGGCAAAACAACTATCTATTGTGTTACTACTCAGTTTCTTATGATTCCAGCTTAATGACTACTTGCTTACTTACGCCTGTTACCCCAGGTGGAGGAGCGTTTGCCACCTACCAGCATTCTCCATCCAACCCTGTTCTGGAAAATCCTTTCCAGTTGCTATTCATCCTATTCATGTCTGCTGTCAGTTCTCGACGTAGTGCGTTCTTCAGCCTTCCTCATTTCCGTTTCGCTTCACGATTCCAACTTAGCGATTGCCTAGTGATGCCATTTTATGATTTCCGTAATGTATGTTCTATCCACTTCCATCGTTCTTTCCTAATTTCCTGTTCAGCTGAAAGCTGGTTTGTCCTATCTCATAGTAAGCTGTTGTTGATGGTATCCGACAGACGGATATAGAGTATCTTGCGTAGACAACTGTTTATAAATACTTGTACCATTTTGATGATGGTCGTAGTAGTTCTCCACGTTTCAGATTCGTGCAATAGGACTGTCTTGACGTTTGTATTGAAGATTGTGACTTTGAAATTGGTTGAGAGTTGTTTCGAGTTCCATATGTTCTCCAACTGTAGGAATGTGGCCCACGCTTGTCGGAATCGGATCCTCCTTGTTCATCAATGATGCTGACCAGGTATGCGTAAGT